CATCGTAATCGAGGCAGGCGGGGAGGAGAGCGGAGCCGCTGTCCTCCTGTCAGTTTCAGGATGACAGCGGCTCTGTGTGTGGCCGAGAGGAGGATCGGTAAGTATCACTGATATTTACCGATCCTCCTTGTACAGCACAAACACTGGAGTGATCGTCTGACCACTCCAGTGTTTGTAAATAACTGGGGACACATAGTACTTTGTGTCCCCAGTTATGAATGAACAGGAGGTGATTTACATCACCTCCTGTTCATGAATTTCTCAATAGGGAGAAGCACTCAGCTGCTCCCCATTCAGAAACTGCTGATAGTAAATATCTTAGTATCAGCAGTTTGTGAATGAATGGGACGCCTCTGTACTAAGAGCTTCCCATTCACTGAGTGCTGAGGCTACAGAAAAAGACATTAAGGACACTGTGTCCTCAAGTCATAGTTACATAGTATTTGAGGTTGAATAAAGACATTAGTCCATCAAGTCCAACCTATTAGGATCTCATTCTAGGAGTAGCTGTACCCCTGTATATTACCTGTACCCCTGTATATTACGGTCCCTTAAGAAATCGTCCAAACGTTTCTTGAACAATTCCACATTATTTGCTGAAATCACCTCCTGTGGCAGTGAGTTCCAGACCCTAACTGATCTTACTGTGAAGAACCCCCTTCGCCCCTTGTGCTGGAATTTTTTTTCCACCAATTTTAGGTGATGGCCTCTAGTTTTTGTAACGGAGTTAATTTTAAACAGTTTATCGCTAATGTTGCTACCACCATTGAACATTTTGTACATGGAAATCATATCCCCCCTTAATCTCCTCACCTCTAATGTGAACATGTTTAAATTTAGTAGCCTTGTCTCGTAGCTCTGGTCCTCCATACCCCTAATTAGTTTGGTTGCCCTCCGCTGGACTTTTTCCAACTCAAGGACATCTTTTCTTAGTACTGGTGACCAGAACTGGACCGCGTACTCCAGATGAGGTCGAACCAATGATCTATAAAGTGGCAAAATTATAGACTTGTCTATAAAACTATAGACAAGTCCTCAATGTCTTTTTCTATTTCAAAAGGGAAATGTCAGGGGTCTGCTTAGACCCCTAATATTTCCCAGAGGCCCCCCCAACAGTAAATTAATAATAAATAATAATTAAATAAATTAAAAATGTGTAAATAAAAAAAGCACAAACCCCCTCCCCCACACACGCATAACGTACACGTGCACCATATTGTGGTGTGCGTACATGTGCTGCAGTGCGTTGTTAGAACGCATTGCATGATTTTTTCCTATCGTAAAAAAACATTAATTTAACTGTGGCAGCGCATGGCAAAGCTTTGTGATGCATTAACGTGCGTTGTGATACCTTGTGTTGTAATTAAATATATGCCTGAATCATTTTATCACAACAAACACCAACACAGCGCAAAAAACATTTATAACATAAATCGCTTATTTACAGTTTCGCAGTCCTTCATTTTGTTTATAATCCCCCTTTCCTCAGCCTCTCATTGGTGTGGCAGTATTAAAGTAAAGTGTTAGGCTTCATTCAGTCACAACAGGGCGGAAACGTTTCACCGTGGTTTCTGCACGATTTTTGAAAGAGCATTTTTGGCTGTTTTTTAGTTGTGTTGCAGCGCTGAAATGCAATAAAAAATGCTCAAACGTGCTGATCAGCACATTTCTATTAAAATGGGGGTGGGGGTTTCGTTGTGGGGGGGCCTTACAAAATGTTTCTATGGGGCCCTGGGATTTCCAGTTACGCCCCTGGTGAGGACCCTCTCCTGCGCTCCTCCCGTCACTGGCTGCCAAGGTCTCTGGAGAAAGAGGTTCTGCAGGAGTTAGGTGAGCCAGTGGGGTCTATGGGTGATGGATGGTCTGGGGGGGGGTGGATTGGGAGACTGTAGAGCTGTCAGTATTGTTGGCTTTATGTAAAACGTATAGCTGGTGGAATTCTGCATACCTGTATAATGAGTATACAGGAATGCAGAATACCACCAGCTATACAGAACTACAAATTCCAGCACTGGCAGAACTACCATTCTTCTGTGTGAGGACCCTCTCCTCTTAGCCCCGCCACCTGGCCGCCCAGACACAGAAGAGGGTCCTGCATGAGAGTCAGGTCAGTCTGGACTGGGAAGGGGGGTGCGGGTTAAGGGGGATGCTGGTGGAATTCAGCATCCCCCTGATTTTTATTATAATGTATTGCTGGCACTTTTAGTCCTGCATAGCTGGTGGTATTCTGCCTTGCTGTGTAATCATTATAGAGCAATGCAGAATAGCATCAACTATGCAGGACTACAAGTC